ATGATTGCACTGCTTATAGCCCTTTGACCTTTAATAATGTGTGGATGCACCCTGATGTGCTACGCATTCTCCAACGCGCCTAGGCATGCTTCTGATCAGGTGGTCAATGTCCTCCTGTGGTATCTCATTCCAGGCAACCACCAACTCCTCTCGAAGTGCTTCTAGAGTCTGAGGAGAACGTTGCAAATTGAGCAATCTCCTACCCATCATATCCCACACGTGCTCAATTGGGGATAAGTCGGGAGATCTTGGTGGCCATGGTAACAATGTGACATCATTATGTTGAAAGAAGTCTATTGTGACTCTTGCAACATGTGGTCGGGCATTATCTTGTTGGAAAGTTGGATCTGCCAGGGTATCAAGATAGGGTAAAAGATGGGGTTCTATAACTTCGTGGATATAACGCTGCGCGTTCATGTTACCTCTGATGAAGATTAAAGGTGACCTGGAACCATAAGCTATAGCACCCCAAACCATAACTCCAACAGTGTGATGAACATGTCTTTCAACAAGAAACTGTGGATTCCTCCTTTCACCACGTCGCCTTCTAACCCTGGCACGACCATCGTGCATGCCTAAACAAAATCGAGACTCCTCACTAAAGACAATACTGTTCCATTCCTGATCCCAGAGTGATCGTTGTCTGCACCACTCAAGGCGATTACGTAGGTGTTCTCGAGTTAAAGGGAGGACCCACTGTGGCCGGTATGAAAACAAGCCAAAACTTCTCATTCGTCGGTAAACACTTCGCATGCCAATAGGTCTTCCGTGTTCTACAAACCATTCATTTTCAATGGACCTGGTAGTGGAGAAACGTTCCCTTAAGGCCAATAATCTTAGGCGGCGATCTTCACGGTCTGTTGTTCTATGGCGGCGTCCAGTGCCCCTTGCTCTTTGCGTACGGCCTTCTCGAAGCCATGCCTGACAACACCTAACCACAGTGTCTACACTTCTTTGCACTCTAACTGCAATTGCGCGAAAAGAAAGTCCAGCTTCCCGAAGTCCCACTATACGGCCCCTATCAAACTCACTAAGTTGACGAAATCGTACAGGTCTCCGTACTCTAGGCATCGCAACCGATCGTAAAGGATGTCAAGAATCCAAATCCGCCAACGTTGATTCTTTACTGCGGCTGAAATATTCATTTTTAGAGCGTTAGTGAATTAAAAAAAAGCAGTATAAAAACCGGAATGTCCAACTGATAAGGCTGAAAATTTTTTCACTTGTTAAATACATTCACCAACTTTTATTAAAATAAAACCATTTAAACTGGGTGTTCGGATTTATATGTCACTTAGTATATATGCTATCTTCGATTACAGATGGTGCATCTGCATTGTTCATGAATCAGAAATACGAGAAGTAGTTACTTCGACACCTCTCCTGTTTGTCTGGTGAAGAAATAAAATAACTCGCAACAGCTCGGCCTTGAAGTGGTGAAGCAAAACATCTGCACATTTGGTATCCAATAACAAACAATATGAAAAAGCCTGGAAATAAAATAAACTTGCGCCCCACCAGCCTTTTTAGAAAATATCAGTTATATCTTTCTTAAAGATACACAATAAGAACGAATTGTCACCTTGTAGGCAGATCTAATACTAATTAAAACCATGTAGAGAACCTGTGAAATCCTGGTCACATTTCATGGCAATGGGCTAGACTATGAGGTTCGTTGACCAGGTCAATGATTGCAAATCGTTTGTCGTCTGATCGACTAATCGCGCGGCAACTTCATGAAATGGTCAAGCTTATTTGATCAAGTCGTAAAACAATTACGCTAATTACCACTAGAGGCGCTGCAAGCGCTTTGTTCACGTGTCAACATGGCGGCTGTTAATAGCAAAGTTATTTTTCGGAGTGAAAATTCTAACAATTCGATACTAATACTAAATCAGGAAGAAAAAAAATTACGACAAAAAGGTACTCGAGTACTATGCGAATTTTTTATTTTATAGGAACCCTGTTTCATAGTGTTGTCAATCGTGGATGTCCAAATCGCTAAACGTTTAAACAAATTTACTTGACTATTTCGTGAAATGATCATTCAATTCTACGATATGGCTACGATAGATCTACTACTTTATCGAAAGCTCATCATATATGGTGCAACGTCGCACTACGTCCTACTTTTTTTATATACTCCAACTACAACGAAGGCCTAAGCACCCATTGGCTACCGTGCTGACTGCAATTGGGTCTCACGATCTTATGATTTGCTATTTCTGCATATTGCATATATGTCCTGATAAACCCGACCAATAACTTGACTTGCCTCATTGAAGAATGACAATCGAAGTCCATCCCACTGGGACGAGTTCGTGGACAAAATGGTGGTCGTTAAGAGTCGCATAATAATCTTGTCCCCGCATACTAAACGAATCAATTAACAGAGCGGCAGAGTCTTTAAAATTAATTGCCGTTTAAGATTTCGATGCACGATGCAACTCTGCGATTGATTTGCGACATCGACGTAGTTACGGTTGGGAGAAGGTGTGGGAACAAGGAATTTTTATGATCTTCTTGGCCGATCTGTGGTTAAATGGTAACTGAATGTCATTTAGGTGCGGTATTTTTGTGCTGTTTGAAGGTTTTGAGCGGAGAGCTAAAGTCTTTTCCTTTTGTTCGCCATATTTTAGCATTAAAACCATACAAAACCCAAACCATATTTTTTCGAAAAGTAGACATAGTGTAAGTCTTGAAACAAGAAATACTTTTAGTCTAGTCTGTCGTTTATCTTAACAGCTACGTAAACGCGTAGATAAAAAGGAAATTGAGATTCTAACATTTCAACTAAAATATATCTCCTTTTTCATAACATTAATAAACATTCTCTATTTTGCAGGTAAGTCTACTTTTCCTACATCCTTAAATGAAAATTTCTTGGTAAGTTACCTTAAGAATGTATATGATTATATTTGCATATGGTACTAGTTTTTTTACTGTACAAATGACCTTGGTTTGGACATGGATCCTTCATCGACAGTTCAAGCCTCTTCATAACTGAGACAGTGGACAGAAAAGATTGAACCTATTATACCGTGAGAGTCATTTACAGTTGATGTCAGCCGCGTTTCACTGTGTGCAGCACAGAGAGAAGCAACAGAAGCATGCAGTACGTATTTTAGAAAGAGTGCGTCCACAAGTAAGCACCACATTGACTACACACTACAGGGTGTTTCTAAAACATTGGGCAAAAACTTCAAGTGGTGGATACTATTTTGTCGTCTGATTATTCCTGAAACACAGCATAGTAACTAGTTCTGCCCTCGAATCAAAAGACCTACTAACTCCAAAAGCAACAATTCTGGCAAAATAGATTTGAATTATTTTTTTCTGTTATTGTGCACTGCTGCCTTCTGTGATGTACTTTTTTTAATACAAATCTTGTATAATATAGGTTTTCTCTTCTTCTTCGTCCTTTCGAAAGGTTCTTTGTGTCGTTTCTGTGTCAAACGTATTCAACATGTATTTAGTTGCCAAATGTATGCCAAGGTGTGACGATGAACAACATAGTAAATTTAGTCATGACTAATATAAGAATAGCACAGTAAGTAGATACGATGAGTAATCTAGAATCAAAGAGCTGGTAGATTTGCTGTTATGAAGCGCAATCGAAACTATGTACTAAGTAGATATGATTTGCAGGATTTGAGACATTACCAGTTTTTGCTATCTTATACTCATTCAATTATAAAAAAAAAACTGTTCTTTTGAACTTGCGTCAGTGGCGAGAAAATATTATAATCCCGAGATGTTTCGAAAATGAGATAATGTTTTTTTGGTTTTTATATGACATGTATATCACGAAAAACTATGTCCACTCATTTCTGCCGATCTGTCGGTCTGTCTGTCCGCTAACCCTTGCCCCGTCTATAGAATAGAATGTACCGCTCCTAATCATTCTTTAAACCTTTTTGAGCGTTAAAAAATTAGGTGTAGGAGAGAGCAGAAGAGTGCACGCATATATCCTATCAAAGTTCTTAGTTATTTCATTTTATATATATGAGGCATCAAGTTGCAAAACCCGCCTTATCCATTTTTCAAAATAAAAAATTGAGATAGTTGATAATATTAATGATAGACCTTGAATCTTCATAAATACAGCCACAAAATGCATCAAAAGCCGTTCCTTCCTGTTTAAAATTAAGTGTACATATGTATGACTGCGGAAAAATCCGTCTTGTCCACTAGAAGCAGAAGAAGAAGAAACTGATTTTAGAATTTAGATCATTTTGTTATACAGTCATATGGAGTTTTACTTTTGCATAATACCTATACAGGGTGTGGCGTAAAGGGTGAATAACCTTTAACCTGCAGTTAGAGGACATCATAACGATTCAAAAAATTAAAAATTGTGTCTAGAAAAGTTACACGGTTTTAGAATTTTTTGACGTTTTTCTAATTTGGAGGTAATTGGTTCCTTCACTCAAAGTTTTAAGTCTCGTGATAACACATGAATGTTTTTCTCATTCTTTTTGTAACGTAAGTATTCTTGGATATATGTGTCATTAAATACGAATTGCCATTTCCATGCTACAGGTTTAATTGCTTTTTTAAGAAATCATTAGAAATCGAAAAAAAAATTATTTTTTTCCTTTTAAGTTTGACCACTCATTAAGATTGTAAAACGATACAACACACCATATTTTCTGCTGCCAATTCAAATGATACTCCTAATGAGGTAGCCGAGACGCCTACTTTCCCAAAGAAAAGTTTAACCCAAGTCCATTGTTGTTGTTCATTTAGTACAGAATATTGAGGCATAACAAAAGACCGTATCAAAATTAGAAAAAGGATCACAAAATACTCAAATTTATTACAACGTCTACAAAACGTATTATTAGTCATGCTGCAGTTTAAATCTACCAGATGGATAAGAATTTAACACAAGATACTATCGTTATCGTGTAATAGAAATAGAACAGAAAACTCACTAGATATAATAATATTATTAGAAGTTACACTAAGTAGTGTTTTATTGAAAAACTCAAATATACAAGTTCGGAAGCCAAACCAGCAATATTTGTACCTTGCTGTAGCAAAACTTGCAATATGGATCCTACTGCAACAAAACACGCTTTATCCAATTCTTTTTGTTTATTTTTTTCCTTGAAAAATGAAAAAAATACGATTATTTCTGGACAAAATAGATCCAAAATTACAGCTCCACACAATGGACTTATATTTTTGCAGATACCGCTTGTAACTTTGAGTAAAACAGTTTTTGGAGATTATCTCGAAATCAAGTTTGTGGGATAAGGCGGGTTTTGCAATTTGACGCCTTATATACAGGGTTATCCAAATTAAGTGTCCACCATTAGTAACTTTGTTATTAGTGAAAATACAAAGTTGTTTGAATTAGCAAACTAGTAGCATTTTTAACGCTGGTAAAAATGAGAAATAAAAAAAAACAATTGAGAGTCGTTATTTTGATTTTTTTCAGTAAAATAACATTTTTTTAAATGGAAACCCCTGTATATTATATTTTTTTCTGTTAAAGCATCAAATTTTAAACAAAAAAGCTTACAATAACTTTTCTCCTAGGTTACAAATTGTTGAAGTTATGGCCTCCAATCTGAAACAATTAAATTGTATCGACAAACTTTATTTTCAACATCAACTTATAATCTTACAAAATACAATAACAATTTTTTTTAAAGAAGATGCTCGAAAACACCACCTTGTTCTTCAATACATTTTTGGGCACGTTTTTCAACTGCTCGAACTGTCTTAACCCTTAACAGGAAACGTGAATTTTTGGAACACAAAAGGAAACATGCCGTCTCTCAAACTGCGAACTTCAAGATGTTCAAAAAATTAGAGTAAGGCGAAAAGCAAGCAATAACTTCGCTGAAACTGATACTGGATGTTTATTTTATGTGTTTAATACGTAAAATGCTCATTTCAAAATGATACAAGAACATAAAAGAAACATTTTTATTAACTATGCTAAAACCATACAAAAATAACGCTGTTGTTGCAACATTCAGAAACTAAATTAAAACTATGGAAAAGTCTCAATATTTTTCTATTTTCTAGTTAAGTAATGAACAAGGAAAGTATATTATAGTCAATAAATACAAAAAGAACACAATCAAAATTCACTGCAAGTCTCAAACATTGCCTATATTTATGCAGCTAATACATTTGGGTTTGAAGCATTGAAGACATACAGGCTTCCTACATTGTACACACAAAAATTTGGTCATCCGATGGGTCGTTCGGTGACATAAAAAGCAGGCTTTCCTTTTTTCCAAAACCAAATTTTCAGCTTCTGTTGCTGGATGTTCACATTTGCCAAGGATGCGATTTATCGTAAGTCGCAAATCCCGAGGTAAACGGCTCTTTAGTCGCTTTTCCATATGCTCACGGACCAGGTTAGCGGCCAACATCTTAGCAAATACCGATTTTTCCTTCTGCAATTCATTTTTCTTATAGCACTGGTGTAAAATATACCAGTTCACTACCGATATATCCAATAGTCGGTAGAAAATAACCAGTGGCCACCTACGCGAACGGCGACTTGAGGTACTCTTCGAACATTTTTCATCAAGAGAATCAACTCCACCTTTATTAGCATTGTAATAGGCTATTATTTCCGGTTTCTGTGTTTCCGGATCACAATATTTTCTGTGGTGCATAGAAGATATGAGTATTGTGGCTTTATTTTTTTGCTTACATGAGACACAATAGTGGAATCTTCTCGAAATCCGTACATTGTTGATCCGACTTCTCTTGATTTGTTGGGTAAAAATGCCGGAGGAATTTCTCTTTTATTTTTCTTCATTGTACCCACATAGGTCAGTTTGTTCTTCAATAGGACATCCATTAATTCTATTGACGTAAACCAGTTGTCCGCTGTAATGTTGCGATTAGTTCCAAACAGAGGCTTCGCGAGACGTAGAACTGATTGTGTGGGTTTGGAATACCGCTTGTGTTCCTCAGGAAGTTCGAAACTAACGGAATCTTTACCGCAGTATACAGGGTTATCCAAATTAAGTGTCCACCATTAGTAACTTTGTTATTAGTGAAAATACAAAGTTGTTTGAATTAGCAAACTAGTAGCATTTTTAACGCTGGTAAAAATGAGAAATAAAAAAAAACAATTGAGAGTCGTTATTTTGATTTTTTTCAGTAAAATAAAATTTTTTTAAATGGAAACCCCTGTATATTATATTTTTTTCTGTTAAAGCATCGAATTTTAAACAAAAAAGTTCATAATGACTTTTCCGCTAAAGTCAAAAATAAAGTCAAAATAACGATAAATATTTTTAATTATTTGCAGTATTATAATATTAAGACGGCTATGAAAACAACATGGCGTTCGCGATTTGACAGCATTAAGATAAGCGACAAATTGTTAAACTGGACATACTCGCAACTAGAAGGCTTTGGAAAACAATGATAAAATCAAATAATGTCAAACATTAGTGTAAATACTTGTTTATAAGCTTTATTGTGTCATTAATTTAAATAAAAATGTTCTCCCATGAAGAAAAGTGTGATATGTTAGAATGCTATTTAGTGTGCAGAAAATCCTCCTTGAGAGCAAGAGTGAATTATATCCCGCTCGCATTCAACCGTATGAACGATATTTTCTGAGACTTTATCGAAAATTTAGGGGCAACGAAAATGTTTTTGCTAAAACAAGGGCAAAAAAGAATTCATAATAAGCGAGGCCACGGAAATTGCAGTTATTGGATATTTTGAAGCTTATCGTGAGAATTCAATAGCAGATATTCTCAAGGACTCTAATTTCAGTTATGGTACTGTTCAAAGGATTTTAAAAAAATACAAATTTATTCCGTATAAGTACCGACCAGTTCAAACGCTTTTGGCAGGGGATCCAGAGAGAAGACTTGTTTTTTGCCATTGGTATCTTAGCTTCTGTCGCCAAAATGTAAATAACTTTCGTTACCTTTTATGGACAGATGAATCAAATTTTTCAAATTCTGGAATGTTTAATAGAAAAAACCACCATTATTGGTCAAGAGAAAATCTTTTGTTAGTACATCCAAGAGGCCCACAAGTCCGTTTCAGTTTCAACGTTTGGTGCGGTATAATTGGTTCAAAAATTGTTGGCCCGTTCTTTTATGAGGGAACCCTAACTGGTGAAAGATATGTGGAATTTATGTCAGAAATTCTGACTAATTTCTTAGACGAATTGGATCTTATAAGTAGACATCATCTGCATTTTCAGCAAGATGACGCACCTGCCCACAACTCCAGAGGTACTTATCATTTTCTAAGTACTACTTTTAATGATCAGTGGATAGGAACAAATGGCCCAATACAGTGGCCTCCCAGATCACCAGATCTAAACCCACTTGATTACTTCTTGTGGGGTTACTAAAGAACCAAATTTACAAGCGAAGGTACGATAACCTTGACGCATTAAAGACTGCAGTTAGGGAAAAGATAACCCAGATAGATGGTAGGACCATACTTAAGACAGTTCGAGCAGTTGAAAAACGTGCCCAAAAATGTATTGAAGAACAAGGTGGTGTTTTCGAGCATTTTCTTTAAAAAAAATTGTTATTGTATTTTGTAAGATTATAAGTTGATGTTGAAAATAAAGTTTGTCGATACAATTTAATTGTTTCAGATTGGAGGCCATAACTTCAACAATTTGTAACCTAGGAGAAAAGTTATTGTAAGCTTTTTTGTTTAAAATTTGATGCTTTAACAGAAAAAAATATAATATACAGGGGTGTCCATTTAAAAAATGTTAGTTTACTGAAAAAAATCAAAATAACGACTCTCAATTGTTTTTTTTTATTTCTCATTTTTACCAGCGTTAAAAATGCTGCTAGTTTGCTAATTCAAACAACTTTGTATTTTCACTAATAACAAAGTTACTAATGGTGGACACTTAATTTGGATAACCCTGTATATATGCGTTATAGAGGTAGCTATTCCTTGCATCCGTCAATGCCATAATTTTTATGCCATATTTGCAAGGTTTCGCAGGCATATACATTTTAAATCGACATCTTCCTCTGAAACTCACGAGCATTTCATCGACAGTGACAGACTGGCCAACTCCGTACACATCTTGACAGTTCTTTATAAAACTATTAAAAATGAAAGATATTGGTGCTACTGGATCTAGCTTCTTTCTTTCATTCCTGTCATCTGGGTTATCAAACCTTAAGGCTGACAGGAGAATACCAAATCGTTTTATGTTCATGACAGCTCTGAATATATCTCTTCCAGAGCCATCGGTGGCAAAAAGTGTTTCAATGTTCTCGTGGTTGCTGTTGAACACCGATGTATATACTAAGAGACCCAATAGTGCCTTTATTTCGACTAAATCAGTGTCGTTTAGGTTGCTGGTTTGATTTTTGTATCTCTTTCGCATTTCTTTGAGCTTGTGATTGGTCCACTTAACGATATGTACCAACATGTCGTCAGTGAACAAAAGCTGCCAAACCGTCAACGGAGCTGCTTCTTATCCATATTCATGAGCTTTTCCTCTTAGAGTTGGTACTTTAATGACTATATTGTGCTTCCTTGTACGTGATGATGGTACAACTTCCGAAATATTCCACCTAAGACGATTTTTTCCATAGAAATAATTCTGAGCTGGTAAATCCTCTTCATTTCCTTCGGCTCCGTCTTCTGATAACTCACTATCACTTGTATGATCTGATTCCATGTATTCGTCTTCTGAGGCACTGTCTATATCACTAAAGTCACTTCCTTCATCCTCAAACCATTTTAGAACGGTTTCTTCGAACTCCGGATCATCGTATCGTACACGTTTAGAAGGTCCCGCCATACTCGCAAACGCACCTATGCAACACAAATAGCAAACGGGAACGGAAACGTGCCGTCTGACAGACTGCAACAAACTAAAATTGGTCCATATTTTAAGGCACGTTTTGGCTAGACTCGTGTGAATGGGGGTGGGCGATGGTCACTAATAGCTTATGGATTAGATGGGTTTTTACGTCTGTTAGAGGTGCAATAAAAAAAGATACGCTCAGGTATAGAAACGCCGCAGTCTCACAGACGGCACCTTTCCGGTTAAGGGTTAAGTATGGTCCTACCATCTATCTGGGTTATCTTTTCCCTAACTGCAGTCTTTAACGCGTCAAGGTTATCG